AAAACAATGTGGGTATTTTATTGTTACTGTTGTTTTGTTTCTTCCCCAGTGTGTCCTTCTGGCCTGAGTGGAGGAAAGCCTTAAGGAAGAGGGGCCAAGGTTAGTGGAGAGTCTCAGAGATGCCCCCTGTGCTTTGATGAAGAAAATACTTTTGACAAATGATAGCTATTCAAAAGCCAGTTTCTCAGAGCTGAGGAAATATGTGTCAATAGCTTATAAACTTAACTAGTATTTTAAGGTAGATGAAGGTCATCCCAATGGTCTCACTTCCCAGAGTACTGCCCATTTCATGATGCTACAGGATGTAGGTTTTCTCCCTAGCAGACACAACAGTTCCAGCTTGCTAGTGTTTCTGAGCAATTGTCTTTAATCTGTTTTCAAAAACCTCTGCCTGCTTTTTGCTTTCCTTGTTTTACTAATTATCAAGAGAAGCTCAGTGAGGTCACAATGAATACCTTAGAAGAATGAGTCACTTAGCAGAGACTGCTGTGCGAAAGATAAATGTGTGGGTCCTGCTATAATCGGTTGAGGTTTCTTCAGAAAGAAAGCTAGAAGCACACAATGAAGCAAAGTGGGCACTTACTCTATGGGAGGATGGGGGCAACTGGGTTAAGGGAAGGCACTGTCGGTGCTGCATGCCAAGGGCCAGGAGTGGCAGCCAAGGCCTCTCTAGCTGCCTCTCACGCCGAGAAAACACCAAACATCTCCAGAGAACCTCTGCCACATTTGGCTATAGAAAGAGTGCACAACAAAAACAGAGCCTGGCATATACGTAGCTTCTTAAAGCAGTAGTTCTCAACCTGTGGGTCGACACCCCTATGAGGTCGCATATCAGATATCCTGCATATCAGTTGTTTACGTTATGGTTCATAACAACAGCAAAATTACAGTTATAAAGTAGAAACAAAATAATTTTGTAGTAGAGGTCACTTCACTACAACATGAGGAACTGTATTAAAGGGTTGCAGCATTAGGAAGGTTGAGAACCACTGCCTCAAAGACTTTAAAGGCATACAATTTGTATGACATTTGGGAATTTGGAAAAGACCGAGTTTAGTTCCCATTCCTTGCAAAATTCTCATTTCTAGAGTTGTTACAGCTGCCACTGAGCCCTAGTCTACCATGCCCCTAGCTACCAGATGTGGACCGAGGCACGACTCTTACAGCAAAAGTTTCCCTTACGTGTGGACTTAAATGGATTTCATCTGTGCTTAAATTCTATGGACAAAGGCTTAATTTAGGATAAATCACACAGACGGCAGATCTGGTGTCTGGAATATAAAACTAACAGTCATTGTTCCAGAGGACTTAGTTGATGCTAGGCTCTACATGTCTGTCTGAATCTCACAGCAACTCTAAAGTAGCAGGAAGTGTCCAGAGAGCCAGCATTGAGCTGAGGAACCTGAGGTGGGGAAAGATTAGTTAGTTGCACAACATAGGAAAGACAGGAGGAGCAGAGCCAGGTTTCACAGCATGGCTCCTCACAGCTAGAGCTCCGTGCTGGGCCTTCACCAGCTTGCCTGACATGCGGGCCAGTGCTGGAGGAACTGGCCACTAGTAATCTCTTTACTGTTAAGTTACTATTTACTACTCACCCCCTAAGCAATGCAGGCATTTAGGACTGGATGACTCTTCCAGTGGTAACTAAAAATGGCTCTGTTAAAGGACCATCTGTTCTGCCTCTCCATTCGCTACTGATCTCCGTCAGACTTAAAGCGACATTTTGTCCTAGAGTCTCCTTGAGATTTCAATTCACATCAAAAGTGACTTTTTTTTTTTTGTAAGAAATCCTCCAAAATCAAAGACATGTTCATTGTTTTTCGCCAGGGTCAAAAGAGAGAAACTGACGGAGGGACAACAAACCCTGAGAGAGATCATCCTAGACTCGAGCTGTGCAGGAGACACCCGTGTCCCTAACACTTTGGGAGATCCTCTCTAAAACCTCCCCAACACTGTTCCTGTGTTCTGGCTATTTGCCACAATGAACTCATAAATCATCCCAACACTCACTGGCCTAAAATAATCCTTTATTTATTTTTCTCATGAATCTGCAGTTTGGCAGCTGGAAGAGGGCAGGTGCCCAGGTTAGCTGGAGTAAGATGGAGGCTGCCTGAATGTCAGAGTTCCTAGTTCCTACTCACTCGACAGCCTATGGTTGGCGTGGGTGTGTGTCTGTTCGTGTCTGTGTGTTTGTGTGTGTGTGTGTATGTGTGTCTGTATGTATGTATCTGTGTATATCTCTCTGTGTGTGTATGTTTGTGTGTTGTCTGTCTGTCTATCTATCAGTGTGTCTGTGTATCTATGTGTAATGCTGACTGTCAGCTGAGACACCAAAATCTTTCCATGGTCTGACTTGCTTTCCTTACAACATGAGACCTTGGCAAGGATCTTGGGAGGAGAAGACCAGTGGGCAGTCATAGTGTCTTTTAGCATTTAGCCTTGAATTAAGACATTCTCTTCCAAATGTCCCAGGACCCAGATTCAAAGGAAGTGTCAGGAACACCTTGTTAAGAGCAGAAGGCTGTTGAAGGCTAGCTCAGATGAATGCTGCTGCTCTAGAACTTTCTCCTTGAGAGGAGGACTTGGTGTGGTAATGGGGTGGTCCCTTTCAGATTTACCACTGCAAAACAAAGCAGAAGTGCATTGTCCAGAATTTCAGCTTGTATGTTAATTCAACCTTTGGGAAAAGCTTATTCAATTAAAATTATATTCATAATTCTACCTGAGTGAAAACGTTTTTTTTCTGGTTCAAGCCTTTTCTAGTATACGCATATTCTGAGGGTTCTTTCTTTGTTGTTTAAATTATTTCATGTGTGTATATGTTTTATTGTGGGTTTTGCCTGCATATATGTCTGTGCAACTCTTACATGCCTGATGCCTGCAAAGGCCAAAAGAGGGTGTAGGAACATCTGGAGCTGGGCTTACAGATATTCATGATCTGCAGTGAAGGCAGTCAAACCCTGGACCTCTGGAAGAGCAGTCAGTGAGTGCTCTTAACCACTGAGCCATGTTTCCAGGCCCCTGCAGGTTCATTTTTATCCACCACAGAATGTTGTTAAAGATGGCTTCTCCGAGTCTCTGATTGTCAACGATAAAGCCACCTTGGGCACAGGAATCCTTTGCAGTGACAGTTTGGGACACTTGGTGTCCACAGCCTTGAACATGGGCAGGGGAAAGGAACAAAACCAAAGTCGTGCAGCTGCTTTGGATGTGGGAGCTTTTCAGTGACCCTGGGACAGTAGGACCGACTAGGGAAACAATTACATAAAGAATACAAAGAAAGGGACATTTTACCACTATCTCAGGCTTTTCCTGGAGGCCTTATAAATAGTACAAGTGACTAACTGATCCCCTTCCTTTCCCTCCTCTGCCACATACTGGGTGACAAGACAGGAAAAAAAAAAAAAGATAAGCACCAGTCTAGAGTGGCTGAATTTGTTCTTGTTTGTCCATGTTAAGCTTCCTGATCCAACTGGCTTGGGGAATGAATAGTCAAATTTATAATACAGATTTCATAATAACCACCCCCCCTTATCAGAAATCATAGCCTAGAGATTTTATAAGTTGAAGAGAGTTAATGTGAGAGTTAATGTGAGCCTTTAGACGAAAACATCTGTAGATACGTGGTCAATGAAGACATCAACCAAGGTTCTTTCTCTGACCTCCTGACTCTCATAGATAAACACAAACTTCCTTCTGTATACCACATGACCGAACACTCTTTTATGCCATGAGAGCAATCACTAGAAAGAAGAGGGCTCTTCCAGATAGGTTCCCGATTCCATCCCTGCTTTTGTTGCTTCCTTTCTGAGCTTTTTCTCTTACTTGGAACATAGCAGCGAATAAGAGCCCAGGCCCCTTGCATGATTCAGGCTTTCATTCCACCAGCCTGGAGTTGACTGTTTAGGTGCTTGCAAAGAGAAAAGCCTTCCAAATGACAACTTTGAACTTCAGAACTTGGATACTAGCCATTCTTGTTCCAGTGTGATGGCAGGGTGGGGGAGAGGAATATCTTTATTAGAAGGAGGTGATACAGGTGGGGATGGTCAGAGTATGTGAATCAGTCAGAATCATGTCTTGAAATGCTGGCCAAAGTCATTTCTGTGTAATGCACACCTTTAATTTTTCTTTTTCTTTTTTCTTTTTCTTTTATCTTTTGTTTTCTCTCTTTAACTTTACACCATAATGTCCAATCCAGAAAAATCAATGAAATACAATTCAGGAAATTAAGAGTGGTTTGGATATTTCACCCAATCCCATAGCAAGACCGCCTCCTAACAATACAGTTTGTTCACAACGTTTTAGAATATTCTCAAACTGAGTTTTCTTACACTCAGTTTGAAAGTTTGGAGTCGAAACAGGACATTAAAAGAAGGGTATCATGTGAAACAGAAGTCTGCCTTTCTCTTCATGTAAGAATGTTAACTCACGGGACCCATGAAATCAAATCTCATTATATTTAATTCCTAAAGACCCCACACGAAATTCTGTCACACTGGAGCTAGGACTCATAATTATTGGAGGATAGAAGAATTCAGTCTACAGTGGGCAGGTTTTGGAGTGTTCTAGTCATTGTGAAAGCCCTCTTCTTTCCCTGGGAAGAACCTGCAAGGCCCTCACTCTTGTCATCTACCTAGCTTGGGGATAAGAGAGAGCAATGGCTTAGGAGCCTCATCAGTATCTGAGAACTGGCTGGTCCTGCGGCCTGTGGCGAAGCATCAGTGATTCCTCTACAGGAAGGGCTCAGGAAAATCCCAGGGTCAAATGAGAAGGGTCAGTGTAGCAGGCCCTAACAAGAAAGGGTGGTGCTCATATTCTGGCACATTCTTATCTTGACATTTACAGGCTATGAGCAAGATAATGTTTTGTTTTTCCTTTTGAAATAGGTTATCAAGGCCACAAAAGCTTTGATTTCACTAGGTAGTCAAGGAAGACCTGAACTTCTCTTCCTACTGCCTTTGCCTCCCAAGTATAGGAATACAGGCGTGGACCACCATACTCAGAACACACCACACTTTGTGAACTTTCATTTCATCCTTGCTCAGGGATCATGCTAATCTCTGTACTTTTCCAATTTTTGGAGATTGGTATCCAATGTAGCACAAGCCATAATTTTATGGTAGAAAACGGTGATTACTGTAGACTAAATTTATCTCTATCCCATTTGAAATAACATATGTTTAAACACTTTGTGCTGTTTATGATTTTTACTTTTCCATTTTTAAAAAGTATGGTTGGCATAACTCTGGGGCACATGACTTGTCATTTGACTGGTTCTGGTTATAGTATTTCATATCATTTGGCCATTTTAATGTCTCTAAGCCTCTTGACTTTGTGTTTCTTCTCTGTCAAGCACAGGGGTAGGTCTGGTCTCAGCTGGCATCTGGGCAATTTGCAAGGATAATTGTGAATAGTTCCAGAACTAGTCATTTCAACTCTACCAAATTCAACATACTTTTAAATTTTTTTTTCAGGTTATGACAGCGTGCACATGTAACTCTGGTACATAGAAGTTGGAAGCAGGAGGATCATGAGCTCAAAGCTGTCATCAGCTACTTTGAATTCTTGAGGTAGTCTAGACAACATAAGTCTTTGTCTTTAAAACCCAAAACAGGGACTGGAGACATAGTTTGGTGGTGAAAAGTATATTTTGTTTCTTCAGAGGAACCAAGTTCAGTTTCCAACATCTACATTTGACGGCTCGCAAATGTCTGTAACTCTAGGTCCATGGAATCTGACTCCCTCTTCTGGCTCCTTGTGCACCTGGACTCAGATATGCTCAGATACATATAATTTTTAAAAATAAAAATAATTTTTCAGAAGACCCAAAACAAACAAATGAATGACACACAAGAAAGGGGATAGTAAAATAGGATAGCTCATGAAATAAAGGAAATTCATTTTTACACACCCTTGAACCATAGAGTGAACTTAAATCTTTCTCAGTGAGTATCTAGCACTGTTTTGTAAAGCACATATGTGCCAATGAACACTAGCATAAACCAATCAGTGATTTTTCTATAAATATGATGACTTTAATATAAATTTATATATTTATTTTAATGTGGCAATTCTTTTGAAAGTGTAAAAAAGAATGTTAAAAGCACTACTACTCTATGAGTAAGAATTTTTCCTGTGGCTACCATCATAAGGATTTATTTCACATTGTTATGGATGTCTACTTAAACATCTTCTGATAACTGAAGTTTGGAGGTTTCTATTGCATTTGGATTAACCCTTAGGCCATGCACATGGCCTTAGAAATAAAAACGTGCTTTCAAAATATTTCAGTGCTTAAAGAACATTCTACCACGTGAGTAAATGGCAATTTATTAAACCTTGTCCTTATTAAAATGTTTCTCCTGTTTCTCAATCAGAGGACATGTTCATTGTTCTGATTCCCATTATGATTAATGAGCTGTAATAATCCCCTCTCACTTGGACCATCAAACATGCCATATTCTGTATTTTGAGTATTTAGAATATTAAATCTCAAAAAGATATCACCTTCACATGTCTTACATTATTATTTTCTAAATGCTTCCCAAAATTACTGCCTAAATTTTAACTTTGCAAAAATTATTTTTTATTATTTGAGATAGGCTCAAATGGACTTAGAATTTTTTAAGTAGCTGAAGCTAGCTGATATGGTTTGTATATGCTCTGTCCAGGGAGTGGCACTATTAGAAGGTGTGGCCCTATTGGAGTAGGTGTGTCACTGTGGGTGTGGGCTTTAACATCCTCATCCTAACTGCCTGTAAGCCAGTATTCTGCTAGCAGCTTTCAGATGAATATGTAGAACTCTCAGCTCCTCCTGTACCATGCCTGCCCGGACACTGCCATGCTCTTTTCTTAATGATAATGGACTGAACTTCTGAACCTGTAAACCAGCCCCAATTAAATGTTGTTCTTATAAGAATTGCCTTGGTCTTGGTGTCTGTTCACAGCAGTGAAACCCTAACTAAGACACTGGCCTTGAACTCTTGACTGTGCTGCCTCTACTTCCAAATGCTGGGATTATAGATTTGTGGCACTATGACCATTCTGATTAGAACTCTTACAAGCAATTTATGAGAAAATCCTTACATATCTATGGGTGGTTGACATGTTTCTATAGAAACATTGCTTAATATTTTATTTTCGTAATCATCTATTCACTTATTATTTCATTGTTTAAAAGCTTTACACAATGTGTATGTGTGCAAGTGTGAGCCCCAGCCCATGGTTATGCAGAGTCCAAGGTAGGAAAGCAAGTATCTAATTCTTGCTTTCTGCCTTATTCCCTTGGGACAGAGTCTTAACAATTTTTTTTTTATTTTTTATTAAATTTTTTTTAATTTCTTTTTTTTTGAACATGAAATGCTTTTTTATAGCATGTTTTACAAGGGGAGGGGGTAAGAGGGGCCAGGTGGTGGAAAAGTACAAAATCTTCTTGGCCTGTGCCTTGAAACATGTCATGGTCTATACGGTACACTGCCTTGAATTATGATCTACCTGCTGTTCTTCAGAAGATATGGTACACTGCTTGAGTTATGGTCTCCCTGCTATTCTTAAGATGATATGGTACTCTGCTTTGAGTCTATCTGCAGTTGCTAAGCAGGATCTTGCAGTTGCCAAGCTTCAGAGGACATTGTGCAGGTGGGGAAAGGTAGGGGGTGAGGGTAAGGGCGAAGGTCCTGGCTTCTGGCATCTCCCCCTTCTCTGTTTAGTTAGAGAAGGCATCTTATGATCAATCCCAACTATGTGAATTTTGAATTTGGATGTCTAATTATGGGGGGTCTTAGACAAGTTCACAACCCCAAAACACTGATGTGAGACGAGTCACATCGATGGTCGAAGGTTTTAGGCTGTCGACGATGGGCAACGTCAAGGGACTCTGATGTGGGTGAAAGGAGGGTGAGAGCCCTGTCTTAGGCCATGTAGGCTGCACCCACTCCCAGCACCACGCACTCCTTTTCGGCTGCATTGGGTGGGCCCCTGAGAAGTGGACCTACAATAATCCCGTCATTGGGCTAACTCACAGCCATCCTAGTCTCTTGTAAATGTTCAAGTTACCAACCATTTGTCAGTTTGGGGTGTAATATTGTCATAAAGGAAGGCTCCCCAATGTTAGCGGCCATATCAAGGGCGGCCTTGGTTTAGGAAAAAGCCAATTTTTGTTGTGGTGATCAAGAGGCCAAGCTCTCTAGCGAGAGAAGCGAGGGCAAAGCCAGGCATACCAGGAACCCTTCTGGAGGGCATGGAAGTCTAGCGGTCGACCTTAGGGGGAGGCAGGGGAGCTGGCAGCTGTGTCAGTCTCCTGCGGAGTCACTTCTGGATCCTCTTCAATTTTGGGCTGATGGTAATGAACTTCAACTGTCTTCTTGATGGCAGCATCAACCTGGTTCCGTGGATGACAGGTCTCCGGCGACGATCTCTGTCTCGCTCAATCTTGATGTCGTGCGCACATCCTCTCAATGAGGGTCCGTCCAGAGGGGTCCATGCCTCGTGCCCCATGTCTGGGTGCACTTGACCCGACCGACAGGTCCTAGTTATTCGTGGGGGCGAGGAGGACTGCAACCTGCTATTCTTCAGAAGATATGGTACACTGCTTGAGTTATGGTATCCCTGCTATTCTTCAGAAGATATGGTACACTGCTTTGAGTCTATCTGCAGTTGCCAAGCAGGATCTTGCAGTTGCCAAGCTTCCGGGGACCTTGTGCAGGTGGGAAAAGGTAGGGGTTGAGGGTAAGGGCAAGGATCCTGGCTTCTGGCCCATCTGGATTAGAACTTCTAACAGCCGGCATCACGGGTGATTCATTTTTACCTGGAAAGAAAAAAGAAGGGGATTTTCAGGGAGATTTCTCTTCCCTGGATGTAAATTGTTATTCATCGTATTTATGGTTGGGCCTGGCTTTGTGAGGGTATCTATTTTTTTCATTGATATTTCTGGTAGATGGTTAGCTGTGCCTTCTGTGGTATTGGACAGGCATATCAGTCCTCGGCTCCATAAGGGAACTGGGTCTGGGGCATTCCCTTTACGGGTATGAGGGTCCTTCCCCATAACTGTGGCAAAGTTTTGTTGGTCTTGGTGGTCTGAGGTCACCAACATGGTCAGCAAGAGATTTGCCATGAGCTTTCAGCTTTAGAGAGAGAAAAGTGAACAAGGCATGATGGAGAGTATTTCAGGGGGACTCCTTCTGAGGGGTACCGTTCCCCCTCTTTTGTTTTTAAAGCCAATTTTTCAGAGTTCTTGTAAAATCAGGGCAGAAGCGCCAACAGTTGCTCCTTCCACACTCAGAGAGTCATGAAGACCTTATTTAAGGATATATAAATCTATATTAATAATCTTTTGTCAAAGGACTTTTATAGCACCACTGACAATTAATCAGACTATATGATATATCGATTAGAAATAGCTTTTTCTACTTTTTGTGAGATTACCTCTCTTCTGTCAATTAACTGTTGAGGAAGTTAGGGTTTACCTCTCTCTTGAGAATATTGGACAGAGGTTTAAGTTCTTTTGTGGAGAGCTTAAAATAGGATCTTAGCCAATTTGCAACTCCTAGAAACTTTTGAAATTAATTTAAAATAAGTAAACTCCCTTTTTTTAAAAAAAAATCCTTTATCTGTGTGGGTTTTTTATTGGATATTATACGTATTTACCCTTCAATGTTATCTCCTTTCTCATTCTCCCCCAAAATCCCTTATCCCATACCCCCTCCTCCTAATTTTTGTGATGGCAATTTTTTTTTAAGTTTTATGTACTTATTTTAGATATAAGTGCTCTATCTGCATTTGCACCTGCATGCCAGAAGAGGGCATCAGATCCCATTACAGATGGTTGTGGCCCAGCATGTGGTTGCTGGGATTGAACTCAGGACCTCTGAGCCTTAAGTGCTCTTAATCACTAAGCCATCTCTCTCTAGCTCCTGTCCTGAGACAGAGTCTCATGAAGATCAATGTTTGGCAGGCCAGTGACCTCTGGGAATACACTTGTGTTACCTTTCAATACTAGTAGTCTTACATGGATGCTGGAGATTTGAACTCAGGTCCTCATGCTCGTGTGTAAGGGCTCTTACTCATGGAACAATCTCCCCAGGCCTCACTAATCAATTAACTC